GACATGATATCCTATTTACAAACACCATTAGAACAAATCCCTCTATTCATTAAGAGAATGTAACTATATATCCATCCTAACCACTTTGAATACACAGATACAAAATGGACATTCATCTGTATCCCCTTTTCTTAAAAATTTTAAATTTTGAGACAAGGTTTTACTAAGTGATTAAGTTGCCCAGGAAGGGCTGTCCATGTGCCACCACACTCTCCTAGAAAAATATAATTGTAGCCCCTCAGCGACGCATATGTGTGTGCATGTGTGTTGAATAAGTCTTTATTTTTAATTTGTTTTTGTTGCTGTTGCTGTTTTTTTTTTAATTTATTTTATTTATGTGTGTGTGTGTGTGTGTGTGTGCGCGCGCGCGCTCGCGGCCAGCTCAGGCCACCAAGGGGCGGGGCTGGCTGGCATGTGGTGCTGGGGAATTGAACCGCAGTCCATGTGCTTTGCTAAGCTTGTTCTAAGTAGGTGCTTTAGACTACTGAGCCATCTGACCAGCCCAACTGTTGTTTGTTTTTGAGTCAGAATTTCACTATATAGTCCAGACTGGGCTTGAACTCACTATTTTTTTCTTTTTCTCTTTTTTGGTACCAGAGATCAAATTCGACCTTGCACTTGCCAGGCAAGTGCTTATGCCGCTCAGCTATATCTCTGGCCTTTGAACTCACTATGTAGTACAGGGTGGCCTCAGACTCAAAGTGATCCTCCTGCCTCAGCCTCCTGAGTGCTGGGATTATAGGCGAGATCATCCTCAAAAAAAAGAGCAAGGTAGAAGTCAGCCCTAGGGGTGCAAGTCCGTAATCCCAGCACTCTGGAAGGCTGAGGAGGATTGCACCCTGGAGACAGGGAAATTACTAATGAGACTGTCTCAAAATAAAATTTGGAGGGCTGGCCAAATAGCTCAGCAGATTAAGGAGCCTGTTTAGGCAGCCTCAGGGGCTGGGAGTTCGATCCCCTGGCCTGCCGTGCCGGCCCCACCCCAGGGGCTCGTTGAGATGGCAATTGAGATTGGGCATGGTGGCGCGCATCTGTAATCCCAGCACTGGGGAGGCTGAGACAGGAGAATTGTTGAGAGTTCAAAACCACCGTGGGCTACAAAGTGAATTCAAGTCCAGCCTGAACTGCATAGCGAGACCCTATCTCAAAAAAGATGAAAAAACGATGTCTTTTTTTTTCTTTTCAAAGTTTTATTGATAAACATATAGCAATGAGACAGTTTCAAATCAAATCGAGAGTACAGTTTCAACAAATAATACACTGCATATATTCTTCTTAGTGGTTAATTGCTGTACAAGATGCAGACTTGTGATCCTACTTACAAACACCATTAGAAAAAATCATTCTATTCATTAAGAGAATGAAACTATATATCTATCCCAACCACTTTGAATACACAGATACAAAATGGACATTCATCGGTATACCCCATTTTTTCTAAGTTCCGTTATTGAATATTATAGGTGTGTAAACTCAGCAAATATTCTAAAAGAGTCCAGTAGCCCATAATAGCATTGGGTCTTCTGTTTAACTGGCAATGTCAGAAATTATTGACCTGAGTCCCCCACAGCTCAACCTAACAGCATGGCTTTATTTCCTATATTTCGTCTTCATACTTTCCTACTGGATGGTTAAGACCAAGGTAAAGCAGGACCTGTGCAACAAGAGTTGTAGCTTTTTGGTCTGAGAAGGTCAGTGAAATGCCCTCAGGATTTATCCTGAGATCCTGTACCCCAGATTGTAGAACCTTTGTCAGTGTCAGCCATGTGGATGAGTCACGGCCATTGCTTGGCCAATGTGCTCTCTGTGAAAGCCTGAGAGAGTGTCTTCTCCCCATGTGACTCTCCTTAGGCACACTCTACGTCATCGATCACTTTCCTCTTTGGCCCCATAATCTTCTTGATCAGAAAATTTGGGACACTACCGAGGTACATGACGTTACAGTACAAGTTCTCATATGTCCTGAGTCTTAATTGACCTTAGAAGGCTAGGGCCAAAATGTTGGCTTTCCTTGTAGCCCTCCTTTTTCTCTAATTTTGGTCTGCAAACTTAGGTTGTTAACCATCTAGAAGACAAGCTTATTGTTATTATCAAACGATTTAGGCTATCAAGCTTAACCTCACTATCTCACTGCATTTCAAACATCTTAGGCATAATAAGGAGCAGGTATTTTTCATCAAGTATTGATATGTTGAACTTTAAGTCCCTACATAATATGATAAAAAACATTTAAAAATTAGATTATATTTTAAAAATAGGATAAAGAGGGCTGGTGAGATGGCTCAGTGGTCTAAAGCACCTACTTAGAACAAGCTTAGCAAAGCACAGGGACCGCGGTTCAATCCCCCAGCACCACATGCCAGCCAGCCCCGCCCCCTGGTGGGCTGAGCTGGCCATACACATAAATAAATAAAATAAAATAAAAAATAGGATAAAGAATTCTATGCTTCTCATGTTTGCACATAAGTCCAAACGATGTCTTATAGTTCAGTGTGAAGGCCCCGGCTTCAATCCTCAGTACTGGCTGGGGCAGTGGCAGGGTGAGGGTGAACTAGAAGTAAATGAATTAAGAATATAAAGTACACAGAATAAATATTAAGTATTATTAATATCGTTTCTAACAGAGAAAACAGATTAGACACAGCACTCCCGAAATCATTGTTGTTGTATGAATACAACAGTTCTCATTGTGCCTAGAGACATCTCCGTGACTCGACGTTTGGCCCATAAAGCCTTCACATAAAACTACATTTCCCATGAGCTCCTGAAGGCGCCGTCGTCGCACAGTACTTCGTCATCCCTCCGCGCCCTTTATACTCATTTCCGCTGCCGAGTCACGTCCTTTCCCTTCGGAGGCGCGCAGTGGAAAGATGGCGGTACAGATCTCTAAGAAGAGGAAGGTGAGTTTGTGAGCCCGAAACCCAGCGAAATTCGGCGCCTTGTGAGGACAGAGCTTTTCGATGGTACCACGGCGAGACTCGCAGTTCCGTTTCTTGGCGCCAGAGAGCTGTTAAGGCCTCCTTGAGTTCCTCGGGACCGTGGATGGCGGTGGATTGAGTGCGAGGCTTGTCCCGGGCGAACGCCGTGTGTCCGGGGAAAGAGGATACGGAGTTGGCTCGCTGGTACTAGACGGAGGTGTGCACTGGGCGCCTCACTTGTCACAGAGAAGGAGCTTGTGAGCGTTTCTTAGTCAACATAGTAAATACTGAGTATTTTGAGGTTTAAGCCGTCAGATCCTATTGCATGGCTTGAGGAAGGAGTGCAGCTTTTTGATCTCCGAAGGCCTCAGTTGATGATTGCACCTCCGGAGATGAAGCTTCTGTTTTAGTTTTTTATTCTGGGAGAGCTTAGGGGGAATATAAGCTTAAAAAAACCCAACAGGCGGTTTGTCGTTTTGTGTGTGTATATACGTATCTCGATGTTAAAATTAAACCAACAGAACTTGAGCTAGGGCTTGCTAACCCAATCCACAGGTACGTAAAGGCAGAATGGGATTCTTGTGATGGTCCAAGATTCTATAAAAGTATCTGCAGATGAGAACGCTGGTATCTTTTCACTGTTTCTTTGACAAGTGTATTGTGTTCGTGCTGTACTACGTAAGTGTAAATGTGCTGCTTTAGAGGAGCTTTTTATGTTGCATGTGTAAATTTTAAGAATTGAAACCCTTCAATGAAGAGATGATGACGAGTCTGACTTGGAAGTCCTAATCTTTGCCCATGAGGTCCTGCTCTGTGTTGCGTTCTGTGGCACAGGGGAGAGTCCTGGTCAGAGAAACTTCCTAAAGATGACCTAGAGGCATTTGTCTGAGAAGGGTTGCTTCATACCTTTTGGAACAAGGGTATTGGGACCATTGATGGGATTGTTGGCAGTGATGAGTTTTGATAAGGTGATGCACTGGCTGGACACTAGACCCTTTTAAGGGAAAGTAAGCCTGCAGGCATGTCCCCTTTTGTTTGACACTGGCTCTCACTGAGTAGTTCAGGCAGGCTGGCCTCAATCTTTTTTTTTTTTTGCGGAACCAGGGATTGAACTCAGACCCTTGCACTTGCCAGGCAAGTGCTTATTCTACTGAGCCATTTCCCCAGCCCCCTCAATCTTGAAGTTACTTTACCCCAGCCTCCTGAGTGCTGGGTTTGCACGGTGTGTGTCACCACACCCAGTTCACATCCTAATTTTGTGGGGGTTTTTTAGGGGAGCCACTGGTGAGCGAATTCAGGACCTCATGTTTGCCTGGCAAGCCATTCACCACTGAGCTAAATCCCCAGCCCCTCAACCTAATTTTGAACTTGCTTTTCTTTTTTAGTTTGTCGCTGACGGCATCTTCAAAGCTTAACTGAATGAGTTCCTCACTAGGGAGCTGGCTGAAGATGGCTACTCTGGCGTTGAAGTCAGAGTTACACCCACCAGGACAGAAATCATCATTTTGGCCACCAGGTAAACACTTGCGTAACTAACCATCACCTGTGCTTGCTGTGAGTGCTAAAGTGGTTTATCTTATCTGTATAAACTTAAGGGGACACCCATAGAATCTGGCTTTGATGAATGTAGTTTTTTAAAGGCTGTTTCAAAATTCTAGCGTAGGGGCTGGTGAGATGGCTCAGTGGTCTAAAGCACCTACTTAGAACAAGCTTAGCAAAGCACAGGGACAGGGGTTCAATCCCCCAGCACCACATGCCAGCCAGCCCCGCCCCCTGGTGGGCTGAGCTGGCCACACACATATAAATAAATAAATAAAAATTAAAAAATTCTAGCATAGTTCTTGTAATCTAGATTTCATGTTTTGTGGCAGATGAATGAGAGTTTGCTACTATCATAGAAGCAAGAATAAGTGTTGTACCTAGAATTTTGTGAGTCATGAATTGTCACATCCTACCATCCCAGGACACAGAATGTTCTTGGTGAGAAGGGCCGGAGGATCCGCGAGTTGACTGCTGTTGTGCAGAAGAGGTTTGGCTTCCCTGAGGGCAGTGTAGAGGTGAGTAGGGTTTTTTTGTTGTTTTTTTTCTTCAGAGATAGGGTCTCACTACATAATGCAGGTTGGCCTTGAATTTAACATCAATCCCCCTGCCTCAGCCTCTCAAGTGCTGGGATTGAAGGCTTGTGCCACCACCCCGGATAGGTAGTCTTGGATTATACCTGATTATTGTGGATTTGGAAATTGCTCCTACCTCAAGAGATTTTAATTATTTCCTCATATCTATGAGTTACAGAGAGATTGGTGGAGCTGGGGAGATGGCTCAGTGGAATAAGTGCTTCCCCGGCAAGCACAAGGGCCTGAGTTCAATCCCCGGTTCCGCCAAAAAAAAAAAAAGCTCTTTTTGGGGCTGGTGAGATGGCTCAGTGGTCTAAAGCATTTACTTAGAGCAAGCTTAGCAAAGCACAGGGACCATGGTTCAATCCCCCAGCACCACATGCCAGCCAGCCCCGCCCCCTGGTGGGCTGAGCTGGCCACACACACACATAAATAAATAAATAAAATTTAAAAAAAAGAGAGAGAAATTGGTATTTTGTTGAAATTCTTTAAGCAAGCTCTTGGGAGGCTGTAAACAGGCCGATCACTACTAGTCCAATCTAGTAGTGAGACCCTGAACACCTTGTAGACCCTTCCCTGAAATATGAAAAAAAAAGAAAATTCTTTAAGCAGTGGGCTTAATTTTTATAAGCTTGTTCAATTTCTGTTGTGTAAGGGTTTAACATACTGTACATAGGACTGGTTGGCTACCCCACCGGTGTGGCTACAGCAGTATCCAGGGGTGAGAGCAGCAAGGAGTGGTTCAGCCTGTGTCACTGCTATAAGATGCTTGTGAGTGTGCTGGGCCCTGAAAGAGTGGTAAAGGTTGACAGGTGCGCTTGGTTTCTTTACAGCTTTATGCTGAAAAGGTGGCAACGAGAGGTCTCTGTGCCATTGCCCAGGCGGAATCTCTGCGTTACAAACTCCTAGGAGGGCTTGCTGTGCGGAGGTAAGTGTTTGAGATTTGATGGTTATGCCCTTTCATGTGGACTAGAATATGGTGCGTCTGCCAGCTTGTTACTCTGGCAAATACTTATCATCAAGATCACCTACTCTGAGGTTTATATCAGTAAGATACTGTGCCTGCTAAGCTGGCAGGCTAATAAGACTAGTAAAGAAGATAAAAACCCTAAGTGGTCATTGTTACAGTGGAGCAGTGTTGGGCAGGGGAGATAGCTCAGCAGTGGAAACGCCTGCCTGGCAGGGGTCCCTTCCCCAGGACCGCGTGCTGTGCTGACCCCGAAACTGGGCATGGTAGTGCTTGCCTGTAATCCCAGCGCTGGGGAAGCTGAGATAAAATCACTGCAAGTCCAAACTGGTAGCAGGACCCTGTATCAAAGATTGAAAGAAAAAAATGTCTGGGGCATTTTGGGGGTCGAACAGAAAACAACTGTGGGTCTCCTTGGTGAGGCTTCTTTAGAAAGGTCCCTGTGGTGGACTAGCAGGAATAACTCCGCCTGTTACTGTATCTATAGGCAGTAGGGCAGCTTGCTTGCTTGCTTGCTTGCTTGCTTGCTTGCTTGCTTGCTTGCTTTATTTATTTATTTATTTATTTATTTATTTATTTATTTTGGCCAGGGATTGAACTCAGGCCCTTGCACTTGCCAGGGAAGCACTTGCTCTACTGAGCCATCTCCCTAGCCCCTAGTAGGACAGCTTTAGCACTTGTGGGATATCACTAGATTTAATTTTTCCTTTTATTAAAAGATGCATTTGGTACAGGGTCTCATTACATAGATGGGACTCGTAGTGATTCTCGTTTTCAGCCTCCCAAGCGCTGGGATTACAGGCGCACGCCACCAAGCCAGGACCCAGTCTCAGCCGCCATCTCAGCACACCCCAGGAGGGGGGGCTGGCATGGTACACTGAATCACTAAATTAAAAAACAAATTAAGGGCCAGCCAGATAGTTCAGCGGACTCAAACGCCGGCTTAGGCAGAGCACAGTGGCTGGGGTTCAGTCCCTGTTGTGCCTTGCTGGCCTTGCCCCCAGGGTGCACTGAAATGGCAGTTGAGACTGGGAGTGGTGGCGCATGAGCACTTGGCAGGCTGAAAACAGGAGAATCACTATGAGTCTGATTTGTGTAGTGAGACCCTGTAGTAAAACATTTAAAAAAAAAAGTTGTTCAGGTGAATGAATGTATTCATTGGCTCAAGTGTTGCGCTATGGGAAGGTTGGCTTGGTGGGAGTAGAAAGAATTAAGTGAGGACGTATGACTGGCAACCTTAACTCAGTGGTGGTTCCATTGCCTAAAACAGTGATTTTTACAAGTTTGGTTTCAGCATTAGCTTCATTGCCATCACCCAGGCATGTGATGGCAGAAATAAAACTTACCCAAGACTGGGTGAAAAACTATTACGGTGGTCCAGCAGTCTGATTTTTGTACATAACCAGTGTGACTTGGAAGTTCTGAGATAGAAGGACATTACTAGAATTCTCTGACCCCTGAGTCTCTCTTTTAGGTCAGGTTGTTATACCGCCTCTCTAGTCCTCAGGTTTGAATTACACAAGAATGTGAAAGGTTTGGTATCTCCCAAAGTGTAAACTGATGAGTGAGTTGGGTGATGGGGTGTGATACTATTAAGCTTAGTGGTTTTGTAGAGATGGATATTTTCCAGCATTTAATATTAAAGTAGCCAGGAACCTTAGGTGTCAGAATTGCTTTTGTTTTATATTATTTTAGCCTTCTGAGATGCTTCTTCTGTTTGTTGGTTTGGCCTTTTTGAGACAGTCTTGGTATGTAACCCAGGCTGGACTCCACCTTATGATTGGAGTCCTGACTCCTGCCTCAGTCCTCTTTGAGTTCTAGGATTGCAGATGGGCTCCACCACGCTTCGCTTTCTGAGGTGATTCTAATAGGTAGCTGAGGTTGGCAAACACTTGGCTAGCAGGAATTCTGCCTCAGTTCCCTGAGGGAATTAGTTTGAGTATGAGAAGAACAAAAGAGCATTGCCATTTCATTGATTGATTGATTTGGTACAGGCTCTTACTACGCAGTTCAGACTCTTAATGATCTTCCTCTCAGCCTGGTGCTGATTATAGGCATGTGCCACCACGCCCAGCTTCAGTGACTGGTGCAGGACCCGGTACTGGGAATCGAACGTGGGTCCTTGGTCCAGGCAGGCGCATAGACCACCAAGCTATCTCCCCAGCCTGAGCATTACCATTTCTTAAGCAAAAGTGGTCAAGTTTGTACTCATTAAGGAGCCACTGAAAACAACGAAGACCAACTTGTGTTAGTTGGTAGGGTGGGAAAGCCTGTCTGCTGGTGTCACAGGTGGGTCTCTTACTCCTCCAAAGGGCCTGCTATGGTGTGCTGCGGTTCATCATGGAGAGCGGAGCCAAGGGCTGTGAGGTCGTGGTGTCTGGGAAACTCCGCGGACAGCGGGCTAAGTCCATGAAGTTTGTGGATGGCCTGATGATCCACAGTGGGGACCCTGTCAATTACTATGTTGACACTGCTGTGCGGCACGTGCTACTCAGACAGGGTGAGCATCTGGGAACACTTGGGGTGGGGGCATTAGGTGGGTGTGGCCTTCACTGGTGCACTGGTGTCTGGAGAGAAACACACCTTGGAGGGAGCTAAGCCTGTCTGCACTCCTTGGGTTTATTGACTGAGCTGCATGCTCTAGAAGAGCTGTGTTGCTGAGATGGATGCATGGAGGTTTGCCTGCGTCTTGCCCATCTGTGTACCCTTCAGTGATGACACGATGACGAGTCAGAATGGGCACAACTTGCTCTTGGTCCACTTCAGTGCCATGTTCTGTGGTGCTGTGTGGGTTCCTTTTGCCAGAGTGTCCTGCTTCTTGATTGATTTAGAGGCATTTGTCTGAGAAGGGACCAGATCCAGTAAACCACTGTTCTTTCTATCCTGTTTACTGTGTAGCGACTGGTGCAACCCCAGCTATGTCCTAATTGTCTTCTAGGTGTGCTGGGTATCAAAGTAAAGATCATGCTGCCCTGGGATCCAAGTGGTAAGATTGGCCCCAAGAAGCCTCTTCCTGACCATGTGAGCATTGTGGAACCCAAAGATGAGATCCTGCCCACCACTCCCATCTCGGAGCAGAAGGGTGGGAAACCAGAGCCGCCTGCCATGCCCCAGCCGGTCCCTACTGCCTAACAGGTACATCTGTTAATGGGCTTCCACACTGGTAGTAAGCACTTGGTGAATAAAGTTGGTTCTACCTGCTCTACATGGCAGAATGCAAGTGGGAATGTAGGGTCGGTGAATCTGTTGGAATAGGGATTTGTCTTTGGTCTCTTAAGGTCGTGTTTGTTTATTTTTGGCACAACCGGGGACTGAACTCAGTCCCTTGTGCTTGCCAGGCAAGTGCTTATTCTACTGAGCTATCTCCCTGGCCCCTAAGGTCATATTTTTTAAAAAGTCCTTTTACTGTCTGAAGTCATTTACCTTTGTTACCCTTCCTTAATTGCTTAAATGTTTCAGGTAGCACTGGTAATTACTCTTCCCTCTCTTCCAAGAGGGAGTGTGTATGTACCATTTGTTACAGAGAGGGACCTGATACTCAGGTGAAGTCTGTCTTACTATTGTGTTTTACTTGGTTTCAGGTTGTTCCTGGCAGCAGTATCTGAAAATACTGCTGTGTGGAGACATTTAATAAATTTTGCACAAAGACTGAAAGCGTGTGGACTGTCTGTGTTCAGGCTGTATTTGATGGCCTGTGTAGCATTATATACTCTCTTCCTGTTGAAGATATCTTTGTGGTATTTGCAAAGGACATGATTGGAGGTCCTGGGGAGAGGGCCAGGAAAGGCTGATGGTAAGGCCCCACCTCTGTTAATTGTCCTGAAGTTTCAGATTGTGGGTTTAGAAGAGGTATTTGGTTTTAGTGACTGAGGACTGAGCCCAGGCTTCTGCTGAGCTGTAGTCTCACCCTGGGGAGTGATGTTTGTTTTAATCCTTAGCATCCCTGACGTATAAAAGGAATTTGCCTGAGCCATTATGCGTGAAGTTCAGAAGTAAATTTGCTTAAATAGTATAAAGTCATTAGAACCTAAGTCCTATACTCTTAGCCATTATGCTCAGGAAAATTTTTACACCATGTAAATCACCTGGTGGTAGCGCACACCTGTAATTCTAGAACTCAGGAGCTGAGGCAGGAGGATCCCTCCAAGTTCAAGGCCAGCCTGAACTACAAAGCAAGAATGTGTAAATTGTCTTGGTTTTCTTTGGAAGGGTGGTCTTTTTGAGACAGGATCTGGCTTTGCAGTTAGGCTGGCATTGAACTCACTTTGTAGCCTAGGCTGATCTCAAACTTGTGATGAGCCTGCCTCAGCCTCCTGAGTGCCAGGATCACAGGTGGGCACCACTATGCCTGACTGTCTAGTTCTGGGGTTTCTTTTTTCTTCTTTTGCAGAACCGGGGATTGAACTCAGGCCCTTGTGCTTGCCAGGCAAGCGCTTATTTATTGAGCTATCTCCCCAGCCCGGTATTTTGTTTTCTGCCATAGTAGTTTGAACTACTTGGTAACCAAAGTATGTGTTTTGTAGGAAATTGAATGTTTTTAATTTATGTAGATGGAACCAGCGAAAGGCAAATTGGCTTGAAAATCATACAACACTGGTGATGAAGTACTCTGGTTGGTTGTAGAAGACTTGCTAAGGATAGCAGTCATGGACCTGGGAGGCCAAGAGGTGGCAGCACCGCCTAGTGGGGATCTGGTTTTCTTAACTAGACTGATGTGTACTAGTGTAGACACTGCATTGTGTTTGCTGTTTTGCACATAAGGGGCTTAATGTATGACAGAGGAAGTTATTGGGGGCTCGCTACAAAAGTATCCATGTTTTCCCATTTCCCACTATACAGATAGTAACTGCAGCATAAAATTTACCATCGTAGCTATTTTATGTGTATACTTTGACAGCTACTAAGTTTTTTGTAGTAGATCTCTAGAACTCATCTTGGAGGTATGTACTCCCTTTTTGAAAGACTTGTGTCTATACAGGCTTATTTTTTGGCAAGGGATTTGTTCTAGAATCCTGAGTGTACCAGAGTTCTCAGATGGCCCAGGTTTCATAAAATAGCATGGTACTTGGACAACATAACTTGCACACATCTTCCGGTGTAGTTCAAGTTATAGGGTCAGTACAGAGCCAGATTTTTTTTTTTTTTT